CAATAGAAGAATTCTTGGAACTGACCAACATGTGAACAATTTTGTGACTTTAGCTGGCCTAATATGGATGATATATTTTGTCATAATTTATTTTTGGCCTATATGTCTCTTCTATCTCTCTTTTGAATCACTTCAAAAAATTGAAATTAGCCATTAGGATCTATACTGGAATATCTGCTTTAGTGAATGTCTGAAAAATTCTAGCACTGTTACCTTTATCCCTGATAACAAATTAATAAAAGTAAATAACAAAAACCACTTCTTTGCATCCTTTCTCCATTAGACGCAACCTGCCCGGAACCCCCTACAGTTGAAAATGCTGAAATTGAAGAAGATACAATGAAGAAGTATGTAAATGGCGACAAAATAAATTATCAGTGTAATGATGGTTTTGAAATAGTTGGATCAGCTGCTGTAACATGTACAAAAAAGAAGTGGTCACGCTTGCCAAGATGTGAAGGTAGGAATGTGTGATCTCTAGGATATGCTCGACATGTTTTTGCTGAAAGCTAAAATTCACATAAAGAGTACATATTTTTTTAATTCAGAAATGAAATATTATTATTCTGAACTATTCACCCCAAGAGGAGCTGGTCCTGTGTCATTGTTCTTAGTTTTCCTGTTTGCAAATAGATAAGCCTGTGGGCATTTTGATACACTCATCATTTTTCCACCCACCCCCAGTTGCCCAACTTCCATCCCACAGATTTCCTCATCTGCTCCCCAAGAAGGTCAATGTTCCTCCCAGCTGGCCATTAAGAAGGAGCAAAATATGGCCTTTAAATAGTCAGGGGAAAAAATAAGTTTCCACTTTGCAGAGGATTTGCAAGACTACTCTTCAGATTAATTAGAAAGGATAGGAAGACCCTTGCCAATAGTAGCTGGTATCTTGAGCTCTAGAAGGTAGAGACACTGAAAGCTGGGAGATGGGGTGAAGTTGAAGTTCCTCCAATGGGAAATGTCTGTTCAAGAGGAAATGCAGCTCAACACTCTTGGTAGTGTTCCTTCTGCTTCAGCATTTCCTAATCAGGGGGTCAGCCTGACATCCAGTCTATGTGAAGTCATGGAGACCCAGCACGAAGGAGAGATTTTAGATTAGTGCAACTTTTGTGTCTGGAAGTAGCACCTGTGGCTGCCTTGCCCGCCTTGAATGATAAAGCTTGTTTATTTTTCCACCACTTATACCCCATCACAATCTAGATATTCTTAGCTGCTGATATAAAGTATAAAAACCAAATATAATATTCTCAATATAATCAAGTGCAAAAACAGTAAAGCAACAAAATGGGCTTAACAACCTACAGCATATATCAGTCTGTTCTCTCTCATCCAGATCTGATGGTTTCCAAGCACCAGCAAAGACCATCTCCCACACAGCCTAGATGATCACAGTTGCCTCCATTACTTTGATATCCAGTTTTGTGAGAGACTGATTGGAAAGGGAAAGGCCAGAATAGTTCATCATGCAGAGTTTATTAGACAACTTCTTCTCTGCATGTAGTTCATAGAAGGATTTATCTGATTAAATTTCTTGCAGGATAATCCAGTTTTCAATACAACCTTTCAGAATTGCTCTAATACACAGTTACCAATTATGTACCAACAATGTATTCTTCTTTAGCTTTTACAAACAAAATTAGTGAAGAGATTTTATACAGGTTCCCTCAATCGTCAGGTTGACACTCATCCTACAAAAGAAATTTCAGGGAAAATTATTTACACAAACACACCACCACCATTAATGTAAGGCTGATCAGATACAGTATCATGATAGTAATAATTGAAAGCACACAATGTGATTTCTTCAAGAAGGATAGAAACAAGCACTGTAAGAGGAAGAGGACGTTCCATTGTCTGTAGCCTCACATTCCCTTCACCTCAAAAGGAAGCAGCCTCAAGCCTGTATGGCCACCCTTGTATTTTCTGTGGCATATGATGTGCATGATCAGTTTTGGTTTCAAAAGTGGAAGCATGTTTAGAGACGCTTGCTTTGAGAAAACCGATGCATTTTATCTAAATGGGACCATTTTTTAATTACCATTTTAGATGCAAGATGCTCTTCTCCCCCTCAAATTCAAAATGGTCAAATTGTTAGTACAATAAAGGAAACGTATTTGCCTCAGGAGAAGGTGCAGTATCGATGCAGCCCACGTTATGCTCTTCTTGGGACTCCTTTCGTTAAATGTTTGAAGAAACGTTGGTCAGCAGCACCACGTTGTTCAGGTATTTATGTACAGATCTTCACTACGTCAAAATAAAGATAGAACTGGAAATTAATTTGCTTTAACTTCACTGTCTCTTTCAGATTATTTTGAAAAGATTCTGTCAAGTTTTTTCAATATTTTATTGCTAGAATTATAAAATTTAATGTCCCAGTTGAACTGCGAAAGGAGAATATATTTTCATTAACATTACCCCTCTTTTTAATTTTTGAATTTCTACTTTTATAAATCTATTCAGTTCATTTTATAGGTAGAAGTTTTTTCCTCAATTGGAAGACTATGTGTCCCTTGGAGCACAAACATTGATCTCTATTTCATAATTAGCCTCTCCTCAGTCCTATGATACTGTATAACAGAAAACTGGTTGTCATTTTAAAAATCTCAGAAATATGACATGTCAAA